CATGTTAAACTAACAATAACAATTTTTTATAAGATCTAGTGTAGCGAAAATAACAATTTTGTATGTATAATTTAATGTACAATTATATACCCACCTCTCTATTTTATGTTACATACATGGCATATGAATCCACTAGTAACGTTGAATGTATTAATGTTCAAGATAAATTCTGTAATGTAATGCAAAGCGTGTTAACTTGGAAATATTAATCTAATATATATAAATGAGATTATTAAAATATATGTATACCTAGGCCAATTTGATCAATCAGGCATGTCTATGGAAATTATAGGCACTACAGGTTTTGTTAGGTCGATTTTTTTTATGTGCTTCTCATTCTTTTCACTAACCATTGGTTCAGATGGTGGTTGATCTTGATCACCTCTTGGTTGATAAGAAATGTTACCATATTCTTGAAGCAATGGACATAGGCTCAACAGAAAATGGCAGAAATCTTTTCTAATACCAAACCACCCTATAAAAAATGAAAATATGTTTTTATAGATTGATTAAAGATTTACACGTGTTTAAATACATTAACATTCCTTACATCTATTTCCTCCTTTTGCTCCAAAAGACATGAAGATAAGTGTCATGTGAGATATGAGAAGAGGCATTGCCACTGTTGTATAATTTAAAGAAATATCACCATCCAATTTATTTGCTAATAGTACCTGATAAAATAAAACAATAGATAATTTTAAAAATTTAATATTAATCAACACATATAATATTCATTTTCGTATTACTCACTTGAAATACTAAAATTGGAACTACAAGAAATGTATATGCTAGTGCTGAGTTTAAAGATGTCCGCCTTTGCCTTGCATTAATTTGAGGTGTTCTTAATAAAACAGCAGCAAACACTATTGCATATAAAACAGCAACTAGAGACAAACAAAGAAGTGCCCAAAGAGGTACAAATACTACCTCCCAACTCCAAGTAATAAAGCTATCTAGTCTTAGTGCCAAGAAGATAAATTGTAATACATTGACTGCACAGAATAGCTCAAGTTCGAAAGACCTATCGTGTTTCACAGCCCAAATGCAAACCTAAAGTATAAAGATGATAATAGTCAATATATAAATATAATCTGTAGTAACTAAATAAACAAATAAATAATACATACAGCTATAGATACAACAGAGATGAAAATCAGTGGTATAAACACTAATATCCATAAATGCCTATCAGATTCCAGTTTGTCACACACTAATAATTCGAACATTAACAAAATCAAATGTAATGCCAAAGTAATCAACATTGCCTTGTAATGAACATAGGCATCTCCTTCCAATCTTGAATGTGGATGTCTCCACCACACATAACTTCCAATGGTAGCACCCAATATTACCATACCTTTCCAAAACCAAATTGGACTAAATATTGTCCAGTAACTCCATTCTATGAAACCGTCCAATCGAAGAGCGAACAAAGCAGTAAATATCATCAAACATGAGTAGACTAAAAATTTGCTATAAAATCAAAAAAAAAAAAAAAAGAAAGAAAAAAGAAAGTATAAATAATGAATTTTAATGCACAATCATTCTTCTATTGTATCATTTATTATTATTATTATAACGGTTAAAAAAATGTAACATACAGATTAAATATTTATATTTTTGTATATCCTTTGTTATTATTTAAACATAATAGAAATAATTCTTTCCTTTATTGATATTCATATAAACGTATCACAAAGAACTGATTGATAAATTTAGAATAAGATCGAGATCTAAATACTAAGACAAGAAGGATTACCTTGGATTAAAATCTTGGAAAAGTGTTTGCAGATTCATATTTATCAGCACTGCCACGAAAGATCAAATCTTTTTCGATAATATTTATAAATTTTTCTGAACATTCCACGAGTAATTTTTCATTTATCGCGCAGTCTATTGCGGAAAATCACGGAGAGTAGCTCATGCATTTGTCCTGCATAAAAAATAAATTACATAGTATCGCATGTAAAATTCGAAGCGCACTGAAAGTAGCCAAAGGCCACCACTACCAGCTGTCGACATTCGATATACGTATACATAGTAGAAAACTTCGTGAGTATACGAAACTTCAATTTATCATATACATGTATACGTGTATATTTCGTATGTATTTTCTAGTGATTGGAAATTATCATTTTCTTATATTTGTAGTTATTGATAATGTCTGCAATTTTTTTGAATAATAATCTTTGTAAGATTTGATATTTTTATAATTCTTGATAGAATATTATCTTCACGAATTTCACTTTATTTTATAAAAAGAAATTATTTCGCGAGATCTTATAATCTTAAAAAAAGAAATCTTGTACGATTTAAGAAAACGAAAATAAAATGTTAAATATTACTTTAAATCTAGACAAAGGAAAAAATAAGTAAAAAAAGAAAAAAAAAAATAGAACTTTTAGACATTTTTTATAAATTAATAGAATTGATCCTCTTTTCTTTGTTAGTTCTTTAATAATTTCTAGTATATTTATCCAAAAATATTTTTTCAATCAATTTTTAATAAATCAATTTTAATAAATAAATTTCATTTTTAATTTATTAAATTTCATTTTTTTCATTACTTTCGATATTATTGTCCTTAATATTAATTCTGAATGCAATAAAAAAGCAATAAATTTGAATCAACAAATCACGTAATTTCGACCAATAGCCATACGAAATTTCCTCCCATCTTTCTTATTTAACAGCTTATGTTGCTTACTTCCGTTCAGAAGTAGACGTTCTTCTTTCCGCTTGTAGCTATAATCATGGCGGTGGGTAAAAATAAGGGCCTGTCGAAAGGTGGGAAAAAGGGTGTTAAAAAGAAGATGTAAGTAAATAATAATATATTTTTCATGAATATCATTCACCTGAGCATTCAGAAAAGTGTTCTTCAAAGTTTTAATTTTCGCGATTTCTGTTTTTTTGATGGATTCGTCTAACCTACCACAAGGCCATTCATGCTTGCGATACTTACACTAGAAGTCATAATATGTTATCGTTTAATATTATATTTCTTATTTCACAAATTATGATTTTAAAATTGACAATGAATTATATTTTATATATTGTAGTACTTTGTCGATAATAGGTTACTTTATCGATATAAAACTATGGTAAACTTAAATATTTATATTTTTGCTACTGTCATATTAAAATTATTTTTTCATAAATATATAAATTACATATTTTTCGCTATAAAATTAAAAATCCTACTTTTGTAGAATATATCGCGTTTTTTCATGAAAATTTAAAATGCTTAACCTCAAAATTATCTTTGAGATGATTCAAATATAGTTAATCTAGAATAAAAATTATTTTTCTATTTTCTTATAACGGAATAACAAGTAATTATTTAATATGCATTAATTTTATATTGCAATTGAAATTTTATTTCAGTGTTGATCCCTTCACACGGAAGGACTGGTATGATGTGAAGGCACCGTCTATGTTTACAAACCGTCATGTTGGAAAAACATTGGTAAACCGAACGCAAGGAACGAGTAAGATATCTTATTAAATTTTTTTAATTATATATGTATAATTGATATTTATATGAGAAGAAATATAGTGCAACCTCAGCTCCACAATAATATTCTATAATTTTTGTGGCTTTTCCCGTTGCATATATTAAAACTGGCATGTAATTATTACATTATTGTTTTGCATATAGCAATGATGCCATTGTTAAATGCCATAAAATTAATACTATTAATCAAAGTACTTCTTCTCCTTTATTTTTACACATTTTCATATCATGTTTATTATTTTTTTGTTCGACAGAAATTGCGTCGGAAGGTCTGAAGTTCCGTGTGTTTGAGGTTTCATTAGCTGATCTTCAAGATGACAATGATGCAGAAAGATCCTTTCGTAAATTTAGATTGATTGCGGAAGATGTACAAGGTCGTAATGTGTTAACTAACTTTCATGGAATGGACCTAACAACAGACAAACTAAGATCCATGGTAAAGAAATGGCAGACTCTGATAGAAGCTAATGTTGATGTAAAAACGACTGATGGCTATTTGCTCAGAGTTTTTTGCATTGGTTTTACAAACAAAGACCAAATGAGCACTAGAAAAACATGTTATGCCCAACATGCGCAAGTGAGTATCTACGATTGTAAAACTTTTTTGTTTAAAATAATAAGATCACATTGCAACTAATATTAATATATAAATATTCTTATAAATATATATATTAATATATAAACATTATATAAAGTTGCATATATAAAAAAAGCACTCTCTTACCACACTATTCCTGGATAAAGAAATAGTGATATTTGATGTTGCAACAATTCAAAAAGCAAAAAAAACATTGTTAAATATGTCTAATTCCGTTAACATTTCACTAATCTTTAATTACTTTTCATTAACAACTAGGTTAAAAGAATTAGACAAAAAATGGTAGATAATATCACGAATGATGTTATTAAAAGTGATTTGAAAGGTGTGGTCAGCAAGCTTTTGCCTGATGCTATGGCCAAAGACATAGAAAAGGTGTCTCAAAGTGTATATCCACTTCATGATGTTTACATCCGCAAGGTATCAATCTAATTAATCGAACATATATTTTAAGAAAATTATACTAAACTATAATAACTATTCAATAATATTTAATTACGATTCTTGTATCTAGGTAAAAGTTTTGAAGAAACCAAGATTTGAATTAAGCAAATTGCTTGAACTACATGGTGACGGTGGTGGTAGTAAGAGCGAAGACATTGGAGAAAGTGGCTCGAAGGTTGATAGGCCTGAGGGTTATGAACCTCCAGTGCAAGAATCTGTATAAGAGATTTATATTCTCTTATTATATTTCTTAAAAATAAAAACCAGAATTTCGTGTTAAAAAAATGTTTTTTTTTTTGTCTTATTTGAAAACATATTTTTTATTAATCTATATTTTTTAAATAATTGATATTCATGGAAATTACAGCAGAAATAAGTGAAATTTTATTTAATCACGTATAGAATTATAAAAAAATAATTATAAACTGGGAATATGTATAATTATAAAGGTAATATTTTCGTGACTCCAGTCCAGCTTTCGTTAAAAAATGCTTTGAAGCTACCGATCCATGAAAACAGTACGTATATCAGAAGTGCAAATAAAAGTATCTTCGTAAATATGTCTACCCAATACATTCTGTAAAAAAAGTTAAAAAAAATAATAAAAATAGTAATATCTTTCGTAACGTAAATAAAAAATAAATATAAGAATTTTACATTCTAATGTGCCGACGAGCTGCCGGTAAAGTTTCTGGAAGTTCTTTTAAAATATAAATTCTTGCAGCTTGTATACAAGTTTCAAAATATTCGTACAAGTCTATGTCGTCTCCGTGTAAGTAATATTTATTATATTCTCTGGCATTAAATTTATCTCTCACTTCCTTTATATTTGCATTAACAAAATCCCATTGGTTATTGGCATAGTATTCCAACACATCGAATCCTTTTTGTATGCGACGTTGAACTCTACACATGCTATATAAGAAAAGAAACTAGTAATTATAACCAATTGGTAACTTTCAAATCATCTTTTATCGCTTACATTGGTTCGTAACCCGCAAGAAATATGATTGTATCAATCAAGTAAGCTGGAATCGTGTGAAATAAGAATACACAAATATCATGATGAAGACGTGATTTTTTCATACTGCCACCTGGGTACCAAACAACACCATTTAAAGGTATTTTCTCTATTACTCGACGACCAATCTCTATGATTTCACCCCACGAAACCTACGATAAACATTTTTATATTAAATTATAAAGCTTTGATAAATACATACAATATAAAGTTGATATTTATTGGGTCAATATTTTTAAACATTTATTTAACATTTTAAGTAAATGGTCAATATTATAAAATATTAATACATAATATAAGTGATAAACTTTGGTGCATTAAACCCTGTTATTTAATTATTTATATTGACCAAAATATTCGTATAGACTGACCATTTATTTTAAAAAATATTTGACATCAATAAATAAAAATACTGAGAAAATAAATAGAAATTATAATATAACAATTATTAAGAGTTACCTTGAAATCGCTACTACTGGTAAGATTGTATATTCTCTTATCATGATCTTTGAAATAAATATAATTCCATGTGCAAGCAAGAATAGCATTGACCAATATATCGACAGGAACATAATCGGCATAACTATTTTCATTGCAATACATGCTCCTAATTACACCTTTTCCAGCACCGATTAAAAGTCCTGTAGGACCATTAATATTATCTGTCCATCCTGGAAGTGGTTCTTTCCAAATAGGTATAATCACACTTGGTCTATAATTGTAAAGTTATTAAACGATTGATTCTCTTACATATATGTATCTACCTAAAAATATGAAAAATGTTTCGAGATATTACCTTAATAGAACTATCGGAATGTATGGCATAGCTTCTTCAATAATCCTTTCGGACAGAGCTTTCGTAAAGGCATAAGTATTTGGTATTTTACCTAATATCTTATGTGTTATGGTATTCACTATTTCATCGTCCATCCATTCGATACATGTTATTACCTTATGTGGATCCGCTGGAGGTGGATACAGCTTTTCTTCCAATAACTAAAAAAAATGTTGAGACCATCATTATAAATAAGGGTAATTTCTCAGTATATATATATCAGTATGTGTATATGTGTATACTAATATATAATATAAGGACTATCAGTCTTTATGATATATACATATATATATGTATATAACTATTTATTTTTATTATTTATACGTACTTTTTGATCAAGGTGACAATAAGATGTACTAATGTGACCGAAAAATAACAAATTCTTCATTTCCTTGGCCAAATCCAACATTTGTTTCGTACCACGTGTATTCAATAATACCGCTTTCTTTAACATCTCATCGAATCTTTAACGTATATGAAATACTCAGTAATACTTTTGTATGATTACTCGATGAAAGGAATTCGAAATACTATAATCCTTACCTCACTGTTGCTGCCGCATGATAAATAATAGTAACTTTGTCAATCAACATTTTTCTATCCTCTGCTGAAATGCCAAGTTCTGGTAACATAATATCTCCTTTTATCGCCATCACCGTATTGTGCAATGTTTCCAATCCTCTTTGTTCACGAATTTGATCGAATATCTACTGATTTATTATAAAATTTCAAATTTCAAATCGATATTAATTTTAATTCTATATAATTTATTTTAAAATTGAACATTTCAAATCAATTGTAATTTAAATTGTTTATAATTCGTTTAAAAAATCTGAATTATAAAATAAATTATATCATTTTTTTATATGTAATCTTATCATAGCTTTCCTTTTTTTCATTTTTTTTTGACATCTTAATGATATATCATATATCTTAGGTTCTAAAATATCGAAGAGAATTTATTATAAAATCTCTAGAAAGTGTTTGGTAAGTCAATTGCAGTACAGTTTCGTCACATAAATGCATAGAAATGATGCGATAGAAATCGTAAAAGTCGTATATTTCGTCATTTCACATTTACTTTATATGCTTACACATATTATTAGTTAAAGTTGAATAATCATTGTGAGGTAAATTTATGAGTAAATATTGTAGTACATGTTTGTAAAATATATATGCATACATACTGTACATGTTTGCATTATATACACGTATGAATATTTTTGAAGTTACGACACGTTTTTTATTTTCGATTTTCATTTTCTTTTAATTCCAATACTATGGTAATGTGTATATTACATTTTAATGAATTGAATTCAGGATAGATATCAATTACCTATCAATTTCCACGTTAAAGCGTATAAATCGTATGGAATTAAAAAGTAAAAAGCGTTACTAATAAACCCGATGAAGAAATTTCATTCTCTTATTTTCGATCGTTTAGAATGTTGGATATCTAAAAAATATGAACCGTAAAAAAATAAAAAATTCTACTATGTACTTATACATGTTTAAGAAAACGTATATAATTTCTAGTCTGACTTTTTAATGACATTCAAATATTTTACTTATTAAGTGAATAATAAGAAAACTGGTAAAACTGGAATTTCACGAGTCATAATCACTGTTAATATGTAAATTCACAGTTTTTAAAGAAAAAAAATAAAAGAAGTATATATTCTTGATCGTACAACTACTTTTACTATTTGACAAGAAAACATTTATTTGTTTTTATAATTGTGAAAAGTTGATCATTATCAGTTAAAAAGTCAATATAGTTTTCTGACCGGTTAGGCTTATTATTCCCTTTATGACACACGTACATCACTTATGACACAGCACGTAAAGTTAAATAAAATAATTTTTTTCAAGATATATTACAACTTTTACTGACTGTAACAAACTTGCTAGATTAAAAAGATATAACATGATATATAGGTACATACGCAAGATGTTATTACGTTTATTGGTTTGAGTAGATTAATTCTATTTTCAAAGGCTATTCTTGAGGATGCTAATTAAATTTTAAATTGACATTTACTGTCAAAGGAGGATTTACACACACCCATACATGCATACACAGAGAGAGCATTTGAATTTTATAAAAATATGTAATTTCGTTAAAAAACAAAATTTTAATCGTATAAACCGGAATTTATTCTGAAAAAGATTGCTTGTTACCCAATATTACACATAATCTTGTTACATATACATGTGCGCGCGCGCGCGTATGCACTAGAATAATAAATAGATAGTACAAGTTTAAAATAATTTTCACCACTTAGCATGAATCTGTACCAGTGATTCCATTGAGTAAAGGTTCTCTAATGGTAACCACAGATCAATCGGAAAAGACATGATATAACCCATATACCAGATAAACTACGAATAGATTACTTTCACTGGCTTTGGTATGATTAAATAATAACAACGATAATAATAATAATCTCTCTCGTTACATTGCTATTTGAACGAGGCCTTGACTCTGTTTCTGTGATGCATTTATATCCCAGATAATATGCAATGACTTTCACTCACGAATCGTCGAAAGTTTCGAGAAAGGGAAACAAAACAACAATTGTTTAGTTGCTGTTCGTAATTGTGAAAAAAAGTGTTTGTCGGTATCTTTTGTAACCTCTTTTTTCTTTTTCTTTCTTTTTATTTTTTTTTGTATGTTTTTTTTTTTCATTTATTTCTCGAAAGTTATACTAAAGCTTTACGTATACACTTATTTTTGTTTATTATTATTTTCACGAGAGCACTTATTATTTCATCACAAAGAATTTATTCATTTTTTCTTATTTCAAAGAAATGATTCTACGATCTTTTTCGAGATTCTTTCTAGATTTATCTGATCTATGTAACAAGCAATGCGTTCATGATGCAATCTCATTTTCAACGTCATTATCACTCAGAAAATGTATAGAATATAGTAAAATATGGAAGGCCTGTTTCTAATAAAATGAATTGAATGATCTAATGATTTTGTTAAGTTCAAATCATTTAATATTATATTTATATTTTTTCAAAGAATTCCCTTTGATTTGATTGTCACTTTCTTTTGCATTTAACAATTCAATAAAATTTAATTGAACAATTAGAATGATTTATCCAAACACATGTTACGGTTTCTCAGTGTTTGTTTTAATATTACGATGTATTTAAGTACTTTACAAATAAAAAAAAAACTGTACCGGACTCTCCAAGATCTCATTTAAACGATCCTTAGGTTCTTTATCCTTTTTAGGTCTAACGAGCATAAAGATCTGTGTTATTCCTGGTAAACAACGTAAAAATTTTTCGAGCATCACTTTCCCAAGAAATCCAGTGCCTCCGGTAATAAGGATGTTTTGACCTCGAAAAGTCTGCTCTATCCTGTCCGGTAAATTATCTATTTTTGTTTCCGCCATTACGATTGTATTCTTCTTCTATTTTGCTCTATTTTTTCCTGAAATACGAGAGAATAAAAATTAAAAAAAATAAAAATAAAATAAAAAATGAAATAATACAAACTTATAACTGATCGTTCTTTGCACGATTTTTGTTTTTTTTTCTTTATGTTTATTTAAAATTAATTAATAAAGATTAATAAACATTATTAAAAAACATTGATGATATAATAATTAGTCAGTTCTTTATTGTGTATGTACGAATCCATTTGAATAACATAATTAATTTATTCATTGAAAAAATATATACTGTATATTTTTATTTATTTATTTTTTTTTCGTCATTATTAGTTAAAAAATCTTGACAATATAATAGTTAATCACTTCTCTATTAAGTTCATTTGAATACTTTAAATATCAAAATCTTTAATTTATTAATTATATATACAAATTTAGTAGAATACAGTGTCTAATCTCTTGATTTTTCACAAGGTGATTTCATAAGATGAAGTTTCGCTCGTTAAAATTACAAAAGCGTACAAATACTTTCATTGTCAATTCCAAAACATATCCGCATATTGCGCGACGCTAAGCAATAAAAGAGAGAGAAAAAAAAAGTATGAGAGAGAGAAAGAAGGATAGACATGTCCGTTTGATGAAAATTACGAGTTTCGTAATGAAAACGATGGTTGATGAACCACAAATCATTGAACGTTCTTCTGTCTCTACTACATCGGTTAATACTTTCGATCATGTTTCTTTGCGGTTGCATTACGTCTTTGGCGTTTTTAAGAACTATTTTTTTTAGAAACAAACAATCGATTCTCATTACAATGGTGAAAGCGGACACTTATGTCAACTGTTTGTAACGAATTAAAAAAAAAAAAAGTAAAAATACAGACGACAAAACGGACGTAAAAACAATTCTGAAAAAGATTTTATTTTTTTCTTACATTTTTACTGTTATCGTACAACATTTAAAGTCGTAACTCTATGAAGGGAAAAACAAATTTGAAGTCACACACACATATATATATATTTTTTAAGCCTTTCATTTTTGTTCCATAAATTTGATTGTTGTTGTTCGATATTTGATCGTGTTTGTTCGATATAAATTATATTATTAGTTTTATTAATATAATAAATTCTTCTCTCTCTCTCTCTCTTTCTCTTTCCCTTTTTTTTTTAAATATGAAAAAGAGGATTTAAAAATATGCTTTAAAAATAATTGTTTAGAAATTTTTGTTTTATTTTCTTTTGATTACTTTAACATTTTCTTCCTTTTGCATATATGTTGTTTGCTTTCTTTCTTTCTTTTTTCTAATTTAACAAAATACAATAATCATTAGCAATGATAGAAAATATGTGTAATCTAATTATAGAATTAATTTTTCATTTTGAATTTTTTATTTAATTAAAAAAAAAAAGATAAAAAGAAATAAAAAAAGAAGAAAATAAAAGAAATATAATTATTATCAATGATAGAAACTGCGCACAGAAAATAACAATCAATTTGTCAAAGAAACGTTGCATTGAATCCGTTACGATTTCTAAACATTAAGTCGATTGTGCAACGTGTGTTTTGAACAGCAAATTGCATTCATATAAACACTTTGCATGCACACATATAATACGTGTTAATATCTCGAATGTGCTAAGAAAGAAAGAAAGAAAGAGTTAGAGAGGAAGTGGAAAGAACAAAGAAGAGAAATATATGTGAAAAGATACGAGTCATTGGATTGCACTGAGTATTCCATTTTAAGATTTATACAAAGCAAGAAATAGATACGTAAACAACACATCAATTATGTAATTTCCGTTTGTGTGACTACATGATGACACGACCACACATTGATAAATAATAAGTAGTCTATGGAAAAACGAGTACGCGATAATTTTATGCATAATTTATTTTTTTTCGTATTAATAAAAAAAGACAGCAAACCAGTCAACAGACATTCGTAATAAAAATAAAATAGTATAATAATAAACTATTTTATAAAATTTCATTTATATAAAATAATGAAAAAAAGAAAATAAATAAATAAAAAAAAATGAACGAAAGGAAACATCTGTCATGAACGAAATGTTTTAATTTTTTTGATAAATAATTATAGACGAAAGAAAGCAAATTTTTTCTTGATTTTCTCTGATAACGATTAAAGATGTTCATCAAAAGAAAATAAAAATAAAAAGAAAAAACTTGAAGAGTAATCAAAATGAATACGCGCGTAACAACATATTTTCTTTCAAGAGAATCATTTTAATATTTTTATAATGTCCTAGATAAATTCTAATTCTATTGTATTATACATTCTACGAATTTGAACTGCACGCGTATACGATTAGGTAACTGGCATTAGAAATAATGAACCATAAAAACTAGGACAATGTTCTCTTTCTTTCTCTTTCTATGTATTTGCAACTATAATGCATGCTAGCATGTGAACGTAATTTCGATCGATAGATATACTTTGCTTGTCACGTAAAATGAAAAGGAAAGAAAAAGAAAATTAAAAAAAAGGAGGAAATAAATTTTAATTGGCATATCTTAATTTTAGGTTTTCAATCTTAAGAACTGCATGATGCAATTGACAAGAAATTCGAAACGATCTTAAAATGTCATGAACATTGGTATATACATATATATTTATATATATATATATATATATATATATATATATATATATATATATACAACAGAGAGAGAGAGAGAGAGAGAGAGAGAGAGAAAAAAACTTATGATCAAGAAAACAATGAAAAGTGTTTTTTTGTATTATTAAATAAAGTCACGTATTAGAGATTATTCAAGAAATAATAAAATGATTTCATCGTGATACGTTTAAACGATATATTACAATAAACAATTTACGTATATCACTAACAAATTTTTAAAAGTGCACGATTTAAATTCAAAATCTTTTAAGCTTGCATGATATCAAATTTCAATATTCGTTCTCGATTTTTTTGCAATTCGAAACATTAATTCTACACTCTCTTCTTCTTTCTCTCTCTCTCTCTCCATCTCTCTCTCTCTCTCTCTCTTTCTTTCTTTTGTTTTGTCGATTAAAAATTTAGAATTTATAATCATCAATAATAAATAATACACTTACTCTGAAAATAAATAGATATTCCTTCGTTACGCCGTTGATATTTACTCCGTCAATAGTCTGTTAATCAAGATTACACACAGAAATTTATTTTGATCTTGAATTATGGATCTTGATCTGCGAAGAAAAAGAGTAAAGAAAGGATGACGATAGAGATTCCTCAGAAAAAACTTTTAACCGAACGAGCTTGAGTCTAGTGTTGCTTGTGATACTGATATGATTCTGAATGATAGTGTGTCTTTCGTTGACTCAGAAAGCATAATGTCTCAAGCCTACTGTTTTTCGCTGAACACTCATCGGGGACCGAATCATACCAGTATCCACCTCCTATCCCCTAGTAAATATACGAAGTTTAGGTCACCACCATTCTACTCCTTCCACCACTATTGCTAACGTCATTACCACCATCTTGAAGAACGTCGAAACGATTTTTCTGATACTTTTTAGCATCGTTCCCTTTCGGAGACTTAACTGCAGAGATTTATAGAAATGTTTTATTATAATAGTTTTTCAAATGAAATTATTCATTATAAGTAAACCAATGTTTATCAAATTTGTTTCATATATTATATATATATATATATTTCATATATTATATATATATATTTCATATATTATATATATATATATATTTCATATATTATATATATATATATTTCATATATTATATATATATATATATTTCATATATTATATATATATATATATTTCATATATTATATATTATATTCATATATTATATATTGATATATATATATATATTTTATATATTATATATTATATTCATATATTATATATTGATATATATATATATATTTTATATATATATATATAATATTTAGCTGAGTACATAATAACTACGTCAAGTCTATAATACAGAATAATATATGCGTTAACTTATTTTTTGAATATCTTGTGCAGCAAAAATATTACCATATTACATCGTAACAAAAAATTGCTTGATACATCTTTTGTTTTTTATTAACCATTTAATGACAGAGTCAGTGTTAAAGATAGAGCTATAAATTAATAATTATATAATATCTTAGAAATATTACCAGAAAGAGTCTCTCATGGAATATTTATTTGTATAGTATTGTAACGTGATGTCAAATTAAATTTTTATAAACATTAATAATATATATATATGTATATTATATATATTATATATATAATATATAATATATATTATGATGTTAAAAAATATCTATCATAGATGCATAACGCTTGATACAAGGAGTTACCAAGAAATTATTCCTTAAATATTTATTATTAATTATATATTGTTGGAAGTCAAAGCAGCATATTATTATTATTTACTAAGGAGGAAATGCGCTTGATTTTATTTAGATGAACTTCGATCGTCGTTCCAAAATGCATCGCATATTCGTTTCGCAAGGGTATTTCAATATACGTAACTGATGAAAGTTAAGAATCTTTAAGATTCAAACCAACTGTCTTAGAAAGTTTCAACAAACTAAATTTTGTTTATTCTACCGTATCAAAAGTTTCTTTTCTCATGAATGATTTACAGCACCTCTTCAAATGTCCTAATAAATAAACAAATATAATATATATCGATGATTCAATTATCATATAATTTATAATTTATCAATAAATTATATGTGTAATGTATACATAGCTTGATTTAAACTATTCGCTTATTAAAACATTAATTCAACTATTTTTGCAGTGCTCGAGAGAGAGAGAGAGAGAGAGAGAGAGAGAGAGAGAGAGAGAGAAAGAGAGAAGAGAGAAAGAGAGAGAAAGAGAGAGAGAGAGAGAGAGAGAGAGAGAGAGAGATAGAGAGAGAGAGAAAGAGAGAAGAGAGAAAGAGAGAGAAAGAGAGAGAGAGAGAGAGAGAGAACAATAAATTGGGATTAAAATATTCACGAATGCAAAATAAAGGTGAGAGAAGCTCGAACATTGATTCTTTAGGCTGCATATTCGACCTCTATTCGTTCGTAGAATTTCACTTTCGTTACCTACCATTTTGCCTATATAGTAACTTTGAACCTTGCATACTTAGATAAATATATATATACGTATATATATACGTATATATATGACGTATTGTATATATATACGTACATATGTAGTTATCTACGTAGGTATATGTATATACGTTTCTCTGTCTCTCTCTTTGTGAAAAGGAAAGAGACGGGAAATTTACTTTCAACAACTTTTAAGACGATTTGCGATAAGGTACGTCAAATGTTGTGTTGTCGTTTCTATTTTTGATTTCTCGCTTGCTCTTTTTTTACATATTGTTTATTAACAATCTAATTTTGACAAAAAAAGCGGAGAAATTAAGGATAATACTATATCCAGATGCTATTACCGTCTTCAATTCATGATTTTTGTTTTCCATAATTTGTTTGAAATATGTATGCATGCGAAAGAATTTTTTTGATTTCATTCAGATAAAGACTTTCTTTAGTTCTCTATGCACTCGAAATCTTGGTTTTTAGGCTCTCATGCGAACAATACAAATTTAATATATATAATCATTTAATTATTTAATCATTTTTTATCACAATATGTTATGCTTACCTTACCTGTTGTTCGATCGTTAAACTTATATAAAGTTCTATTATGCATTAAATTGAATGTTTTTTTCAACAATCCTTTTTGGTGATTCTTTTGATTCGCATTACGTCTATATTTTATTTTATTTTTAAGGAATACAATATATATAATATTATTTAATATATAAAGAGATAATACTATATTAATACCTATACATATTAATATTGAAAAAAAGATTAATTTTCTTTGATATGAAATTGCTGAAAAAGATATCGTTCTCTTAATAGTTAGATGTCAACAAAAATATACTTGTGTGAAGTATTATATATATAGGTGGACCGGAAAGTAATGTCGTTTCTGCGCACGTCGATATTTGATTGTTAAAAATTGTTAAAAATTTATTCGTTTGAATATAATTTAAGAAAGTGACATTACTTTCTGGTCCCCGTAATATATATATTATATATAATATATATTGTATATATAATATATGTATATTATATTATATTAGATGTATCGTATACATTACAGCTCCATTATTTGAAATATTTTTGTTATATTTGATTTCATAGAAAATGTTCAAAACAAAGTTACAATATTTCAAGAGACGGATGATGATGGAAAGCTTATTTTTTACATGAATTATATTTTTTGCAAGTATACATATACGCATTTGCGATAAAAATATAATTATGAATACTAAAGTAGTTCACCTTGATATCATTAATCTTCTTCCTCTAGCATTACTTTTCAATCAAAGAATATATATGGCTTGTTACAATTGCATAATCTTCATATATTTTAAAAAATATCCACAAACTAAACATTTTTCGACGTTATATTCTAATACTTTGTAATTCAGAATTGCAGGATAAATTAATTCACGATAAAAAAGGATCGTAGGGTTTTGTTTAAAAAAATACCGATGACCTTAAAATCTCATAAAAAATAACCTTGAGAAAATATTCTTTCTATCGTCAAATGGCCCTTGAAATAGTATAATTTTCCCTTGAACATTTCTTTTATAAAACTAAAATTAACAAAAACACTTTAGATAAAGTTAAGCGTTAACAGAAACACTTCAGATAAAGTTAAGCAATACATTCCAGGTATAAGGTGTTACGTCATCACATACAATGTTAACTTAGGATTAGACGAGACATAAAATATTTACAGAAAATAACAGAGTAAAAGATACAATGGATGAGTGTGGAAAAATTTTCATTTTTATCATCATCGTCAACTTATATTTTTTTTTTATCGTTTAGAACAGATAACATAAACTATCCTAAATTAAATTCCTAAGAAAAATTTTATTTTATTAATAAATACCCTGATTCTTGATGATACATCAAGAAACTGTAAGATACTGTAAGTCGGTAAAGTAAATATTGAATCAGTAAAATAAATATCATGAGTCGATAAAATAGAAACTAGATCTTATTTTCCCCAATCAATGCCGCGGTTATTCCTTTGGACGTATTCATCCATGAATAAATAAACCACAGGACGAGTACACCAAAAAGAATTTTCACAAATAAATCAGCAATATATAAATATTTTAAAACTTGTCTTGCACGAGGTAAAGTTGAAAGATCGTCCTTTAGGTAATACTTTCTTGTTCCCAAAATATAATTTAATAGATATTCATCCCAAGATAATGCTTTAGTATCCATGAAGAAAATTTCTTTATCCGAGGAGCAAAGACGTTCTTCCAAATCTTTCTTTACTTCGTTCCTTTAAAAAATGTTAAAAAAAAAAATATATGTATATATATTTACATAATAGCTAAAATGTTTATATACTTTCGTAAATAATACCTACCGGAATACCCATTCTTTAGTTGTATAATATTGTAATAATTCTAAACCATACGTGATTCTTTGTTGGACTTTCACTAAAAACGGCTCGTTTCCAGTTAAAACGATTATAGTGTCTAAAAAATATGCTGGTATAAAATGTAAAAATAACATAGTGAACCAATGTAAGATTTTTGATGAAGTTATTCTTCCACCTGGATACCAAAGTGGTCCTGAAAAAAAAAATATTAAAATTGAAGTTAAAATTTTTATTTCGGTCGGTAATAGAGAGACCTTGATTGTAACAATCATCATATAGCTAATGATATAACGTTGTACAGTACGTGACATAATTATTAATCCGGATAAATAACCAATAAAAATATCAAATTATGTGCCGATTATATACAAATTATCTCTTATTATATGTTAACTCATAGCGAATGTCAAGAGCAAAATAGAGATATTATTATCTCGATATGCTCTCATCAAGAGAGAATCAATTATTTAGCTTGAAGATCTTGAATCATGAGAAATTATGTTAACAATAAACTACCAGATATTTTGATATTCCAACAACATGTAGATATTTATATGAAAAATAAATAGATTTTTCGTTTTTTATTGTTTACCCGAAAATGGATTCTTCAGAGTATGTTTCTTTCCAATTTCCAAAGCGCTGCCCCAAGATATAGGATTTTCTCCACTTTCCGTGACATTCATGAAAATTGGTTTCTCAGGTTTTTCCAAACCAACGTGCCAGGCCAAGGCAATAATGGAGTTAACAGCTATATCGCAAGGCATTAAATCGGTCAAGTAATTCGGGTTGCATAGCATCGTCCGTATGACACCCTTTCCTGCTCCAATCATCAATCCAGTTGGACCATTGATATTGTCGATCCAACCGGGTGTCGGTTCTTTCCATGATGCTATGACTGAAGTCAAAACAGAGAAATGTAAAATAAACGAAATAATGCGGATTATGAAAAACTCGTCATACCTATCGACGGACGAGCGATTCCAGCAGGCAAATTAGATCTATATAAAAGATCCTCGCTGAGAGATTTGCTAAACGCATAAGTATTCGGTTGTTTATCCAGCAGTTTCGGTGTCATAGCGTTTAATACGTTATCAGGTATAGTATTAACCATGGATATAATACTTTCAGGTGAAACTGCTGTTGGATAGGCACGTTCCTCTAATACTGCCTCACCACACTGACAATAAGATGTGGATATGTGTATGAAAGACTCAAGATGTGGCATCTAAAAATTAATTTCTTTTTTATAGGATTCGTTTCAAAAATTTTATGACCTAATAATATTTCTTAAAAGATTATTATTACCTCTTTAGCTAACGCTAGGATATTCATGGTACCCTTCGTATTCATGTTGATTGCGGTTTTCAATGGAAGATCGAATTTAACGTTCGCAGCAGTATGAAAGACTACCGATATCTCTTTCATAATTCGTTCATTATCAGAAGCAATCAAAGCCAATCCATCTTCAGTTATTTCTCCAGGCACCACTACAAGTTTCTTCAATCTTTCGGGATACTTTTCTCGGAGCACTCTAAATGGTTCTTGCTGGAAAATATCAAACTCATTCAACAATCTACCTCTATTTCATTATTTTAAACCTAGATATATATTAATAGGTAGATCAAATTCATTGAAGAAATGGTCCATTTAAATCGATACTTAAAATGATGTGTAAATCTCAGGATGGGATGGAGTAGGAGCAGGCGAAAAATCTGGTAGGGATATAACTTCAAGGTCATTTCTTTATAAAATATCCAGGGTATATGGCATTTGCCTTTCAATCAAAGAATTAACTGCTCCGTAACTTAATGACGTAAAATGTGAAAGGACCACTTCCATATCAAGAACATCGAGATTCATTTTCATTCGTATACTTGTACGTAAATACATACATTCATATATATACTATATATTGGTACATATATATTGTATACTTGTATCTATGTTCAATACATCAGATGATTTGTATTATCTTCTTCTATTTTTAGTGTATTCATTTCTGCTTAATTATTCACAATTTTTCAAAGTTTTCTTTATTCATTTTCAAAAAGATAAAAAGAAAATGATCAATTTTGAAGAAAGTAATTGATCATTTTTGTGAATAACTGTACTTGTACTTTTCGAGTACGATCGATTCTTATGTCCTTATTAAGACCGTTTTTTTCTACAATAATATGAACCACGCGTAAAACGATAGGACAGACGAATTCGAGGCTAAACGTTCGCTTTCACTTTTTTCCAAGCATTACATGACCCACCTACTTTTTAAATCGTTCAAGATTCCAAACAATTTTTCCTTAATGATTCTCTACTAACGAATTTAGTAATATATTCAATATTATGCAAGTCATTAGAGTAAGCAAAATTTAATTACAAAATTTATATAAAATGTTTTCATTTACAATTTCTTTGATGATATTTAGATGACATATTTCCTGACAATAATAACCATATATATATAAGAATATGAATGAAATTATATCAATGAAATTCTTCTCTATGTATCTTTTATTTAGAAAAAATTATGAAAGATTAGGTCAAAAGTCAACGCATTGATTAAAGATGTTTAACTATGATCATGTACAAATATCTTGGAAGATTACCCAAGAAACATGAATTAAAGATGAGTATTAGAGAGTTTGACGACCTAGTTGGAACGTCTTTTAAATGTCCAAAGAAACCATTGATGATGGCCAAGTAAAAGTATATTCTCGACAAATGTTTTATATCTTACTAGATTTATAAATATCCGCTTTAGATTGCATGAATTGAAATAATATTTTACAGTTTATCGAATAGCATAACGACATTTGGCAAGATCGAAATTAATATCGGTAAGAAGGAATGACATAACGCAAGATCGGATTTACTTTCACACGATATTTCTTTCATACGTTTGGTATGTAGATATATGTATATAAGTGCATATGTGCATATGTGTAAATATATGTATGTATTCATACGTCTATCGAACAAAATACTCAGGAGAGTTTTCGATATAAATAGATATTTATTTAGAAATGCTTCTTCATTTAAATTAGATCACGTACATTTTTTATTTTCGATAACGCAACGAAATGAGCAAATACGAATAAATCTTTCGGAATTATTTGACGATATTTCTTAAATCAAGAGAATTGTATTGACTCTTAATCATTCTTCAGATGACAACCAGTTGTGATTTTTTGAATTCTTACATATTAATATCTTACGAATGTAATTAGATCATAATTCTATTCATAAAAAATAAATTTAAATATATTTACGACATAAATTTCGTATTATTATTAAAACGGTGATCATAAAAGAAAATTAATTTCTTTTATTATTCATGATGATCATGGTTAAGATATATGATCATGACAGAAAGCTTATTAATTAAAAAATTTATTTATTACTTCCTGCCATGCAAAATAGAATCTTTACAAAGAATCGATATTATTTATTATCGTTTTTGTTTGGCTAATTAGCAATATCGTAATTGCGTAATTTATTACCGAAGCGGAGAGGCCTGCAAGAAGGAGGAGAAAGAGAATTCCTATTGTAAGAGTGATTACAAGAAATTATTATATAAAACTTCAAGATATGTTGCCAACTGCTAAAACTCCTATAATAGATAAAAATACTACTATTAATGATGCATTCTTCAGTTGAATTTCAACATCGATTGTTTCCTGATAAATAATACGATAATCATCGAAATAATTGAACGATTGTATTAAGCATTAAGTATGACGCTTATTACTTATTTTATTATTAAGACTGCTCATCGCTCTCTCTCTCTCTCTTTCTCTCTCTCTCTCTCTCTCCCTCTCTCTCCTTCTCGAATCATGTATCACTTCAACAATATATTAAGAAGAAAAGAAAAAGAAAAGAAAAGATTTAAAAACGAGTTAAGGAAATATTATCCTTTTCCTCGATGTTTATACTTCTCTATATAGATTCTCTGTGTCAATAATAGATATCAACGTACGATTTGCTTCTTGACAAAAAACTCTATTTAGACTTATTATATATACTAGTAAACATCATTAAAAATAATAATAAATAAATAAAAAAGAATAATAATAATAATAATAATAATATTAATAATAATATTTAAATAATATTTTTTCTAGATGACAAATTATTTTTAATCAAAACAATTCGAATAAAAACTTCAAAACATAAAAATTGTTTTTTTTCTTTCGTACTCGATTAACTTCATATGCATTACTCTTTCTATATCCCTCTATAAAATAACTTTAAATTGTCTTTTAAATAAAAACAAATCAACCCTTTGGGCTGGCAATTGTTTCATGGATTCACGTGCCCAAACTGTATACAAAACCGTAATTTGACGCGAGCCATGAAGATACAATAGTGTCACTTCAAGGCTCACGTCAAGAATTTTTTCTATACAGATTTTAGGTATACAATAATTCTGTTTATAGGCAGATATTATATAGATCTCTTAGTTTTTATAATATTAATTTTTATAGTATCCAATTTTCGATACAGGTTTGGCAAAAAATACCCATTATCTAAGAACAAGATGTGTTCTTAATCCACTATTTTCTGATCTAATATATAATTATGATCTAATAATCTATATTTTCTGATGCATTAATACCCGATTTTTTTACTACTAGGTTTTGACCTATCTTATATCTTAAATTTGATATAATATCCTAATTTACATTCGCACAGCTTATAATATTTTACACCAAAGCGTACTTTTTTTAATGGATTGAATTATTTCTATGATAAGCGATCTTCATACTTTATTATAGATTCATCTAATATTATCTAATATTATCTTTATTATAGATTCATCTAATATTGTTATACTTTATTATAAATTCATCTGTATATTCTTAGAAGTATAAATATACTCAAACATATCATTTAGATAATCAATTACGATTCTTAATTTATATAATTTAAATTAATTAATGTAAACAAGATTTTCACTCATTTCTAATTCTAAAACAATAAATAACTATTCACGAGCGTGGGATATTATTTTAGTACTAGAGGTTAAATAAAATATGAATAAATACAAAACAAATAAAAAATGAATAAATAGATAAATAGAACAGAAATTGAACAGAATTGATAGATAACAAAAATTTGAAGTAGGTCGAATAATGAAGCTTTTCGACATTTTAGCTAAAATAAGATTGTGATTAAAAAAAAAAAAAAAAAGAAAAAAGAAAATAAATTCCCAAATAATAAGATTTTTTTTTCCTTATAGGACATACATTAGATTTTTAATGGAAAAGTTATTTACATAAAACAGTAACGCTTTTTGGTCTTATATTTTTAAAGAGATTGGAAAGTTGACAAATTGCTTGTCTATAATCTGTTTTCTATTTATACGATAATATACATTGTAATAATATATACGCCCGAAAAGTCAAAAACATAAAATAAGTTTTTTCTATATAGATATAGGTTTATAATTAGCGTAGAAGAAATACTTAGAGATTAACGTACGATATATATATATGTATATATATATATATATATATATATATGCATGCATATTTGACTATCAATTAAAGTCGATAATTGTATTGAAGAGATTAAAATGGGTTTAAAAAAAGAAAAAAAAAAAGAAAAATAAACGGAACAAAAAAACACTTTCTCAATACTAGAGAAATTTTATCGTTAGCTATCAAAGGAAAACAAAGTAACGGGAAAAGCTACTACTAAGAGGATAAACGAACGAGAGACTAAAAGATCACTTTACAGAGTAACTTGTAATGTGTTGTAAGCGCATTCCCCGCACTTCATACTGGTTCTACCACTCTCTTGAATGAATAAACGAATGTAAACGTGTATCGACCTGTGAGGTAATAAAAAAAGAAAAAATAATATACGAAAAATATATATATATATATATTATCGTATAATAATATATATATAATATATATTTTTATTATACCTATAGAAAATCTATTATCGAATAATAATCTTTCGTATTATATTGTATAAGTTAAACAAAGATACGATATAAACGCTGAGAAATTAAAAATGAATAAAATAAATACGGATATTATAAATGAGTGTGAAATATGTTGGTTACGTAATAAAAGAATTATATTTTATTAAGATTTCATTAATTCAAATTTATCTCTCATGACGTAGCGTATAACCTTGTCGACGACAATAAAAAATTAATTTGAATAACAAGAATCGTCTTCCACGAATACGAGCTTTACCTTTTATATTTGTTTTTCTTTTTTACTTTCTTTTTTTTTATTATTTTTTTTCTTTCAACAAAATTTCACAATTAGCCCAAGTTTTATTTTCATTCTTAACATGTTGCAATATCATTTGTACATTAAAAACTTTTCTCCTGTCACTAATCAATAATGTCATATTGCATAATCTCGAAACCATCTATGTTTCGACAGCATTTTTTTCTTTTTCTTTTTTCTTTTTTTCAACATGCACCTGTCTGTCTCTCCATACTTTCGCATTCATTTCATTCGAGTTTTTTATCCACTTAGTCATTTTTGACGTCACGAATTTCCGCCTAATTTCACTTTCACAATCTTATAATAACCGGTATTTAAAATATACCAAAAATATTTACCCTTTATTATTTCGAAGATGATTTATATTAAAAATGTTTATTTTATTTAATATGATTTTATTTGATTTGATTCATTCGACTTGATTTGATTTATACGATTTGATTTAAAAATTATTGTAGCAATATGAAAAGAAAGATTAAAGAAATAGACTTTGTAAAATAGAAAATGAAAAGCAACAGAAACGTAATAAAAGAATGTAATAAAATAAAATGAAAAAGATTTTACGAGAAAAAAATATGTTTCATTTCTTTCTCATAAAATTTTAAAGAAAAAGAGGTAGAGAGAGAGAGAGAGAGAGAGAGAGAGAGAGATATGAGCTCATAAAACTTATTACAAGGAAAATTTAATTCGAAATAACTTTTGTTCGATAGATTTATGTTTGTAGATCAGATCAATGAATAACTAAATGTTAAATACAATTTAAGGTATTCCTTAGGGGCACATTAATAACTCACCTCGATGATGACTTTCAATCTGAATTGCGAATCGATTCCTTTCTTTCCTCTAATTATCAAGAAAATATTGCCAATATCAGGACAGCTCATTAACAATTTGTAAATTAGAACTTTTCCGAGGAATCCAGTAGCCCCGGTAATAAGGACGTTTCTCTTTCGAAACCATTCCGGTATCGATGGTGTCGTAACCATTATTTTTATTTTTCTTTTTCTCTTTTGAAAACTGTAATAATACAAGTAATATGAAATATGTGAACGTCAATGTGAATTAAGAATATTCATAATACATACATGCGCGCGCGCATGAGTACATATATATATATATATATATATATATATATATATATATATAATATATATATATTTATATATATAAATATATATATATATATATATTTACAAATTTACTATGTATTATTATGTGCATATTTAATATGACAATATATATAATAATATATATATTATAATATATTATTTCTTCTATATATAACATATAACAATAAAAATACACACACATATATATGTAATTAATATATATATTAAATGATATATATATATATATATATATATATATATATATACACATATATATACAACAATCCACAATTTGACCTTGAATTTCAATGTGCATAGAATGAATTCTCTTGCACGATGTTACACGTTCGACGAAGGGAGGTATAAGTTGCTTTCAAAATGCCAAGGTCATTGCGGATCATTATTATTCCATTGTTAATTCAACAGTTTTTATGAAAAAACGTTACACTCAAGGAATAATTTTCTTACAGTATGTCTCAAAATGATTATTTGATTGGTCACTCAAATATCTCCAATTAATTCTTTTAATTCTCTTTCTTTCTTCTTTCTACATATTTAATAATGAATATTTGAATAAATTATTTGCATACACGATTATTTTTATTTCTTGATGTTTATTGTTCGACCATTCGTTTAATTTTTTATCTCGAATAGCGTTTGTTTATTTCAAAATCCGTATGCCATTGCCAAATTATTTTTACTGGTATATTTTATTATCAGAGGAATCTTTTGATGTTATATTCGATAACATATATTTATTATATATTATAAAACATATTATATATAATTTAATTTAATAAATATTATTATATTAAATATATGTAATATGCCTATATTATATATCATTATATTGTAATAATACAAAGTAAAAACCAACCATTTTTGTAATACATATAAATATATGTAATACAACAACGTGCACTAAAACTAAAATTTATATATATACAAAATATTATATGAAATATATGTATTTTCTATATTATATAAATATATATTTTAAACTTAAAATTTTTTCATTCACAGTCATTTATTAATTATAAATCAATATCTTTGTGATAAATTTTTAAACGTCTGCATATTTATATTTCTAAGAATTACATATAGTTATTTATATTTCTAAAAGTAGCAAAAAGTTTTATTCACAAAGAATGATAAATAATAATAAAACTAAAATAAAAACAAATAAAATAAAAGTTAAGAAATGAACATAAAGAAACACCAAGTCATTCACTTACCTGTTTCACAGCTCTGAGATCCCAGGAATGCTCGTTGTTAAGCGATTATAAGAATCCCTAAGGAATTAGCAAGTGTCTTGATTAAAATTGCGATTATCTCTTTTCCACGATTATTTGTAGATATCGAAGACAAGAAACAAACAGTTTAGAAGATAGAACGAAATAGAAATTTCTGCGATTGGTTTTTTCGAAAAAAAAAGAAAAATCTCAGCGAGTTAATCAATTTGAGTTCCGTAAGTATAACCGTCTGGATAAAGACTGATCTTTCTCAAAAATAAATGCTATGTAGCAAAGTAGAGAGAAAGAGGTAGAATGATTTCGAACTTTAATAATTCATACTCAGCGATCGCAGAAACGAACTGAGAGAAAATACTCGTTCTCCGCGACGTTTTATCCCCATCTATCGTATATTCACCTACCACGATGAACTATGTTGTTAACCTTGATACTTGGAGGTAGAAGGTAGCAAACACTTCAAAATACGTTTCTCTTCGCTCTCTTTTATTTTTATACGTTTTCTTCTGTCGTTCTCCTGATCCATGATTTCATCTATAGGTTTTACGGTGGATTCATCATATCTCCCTATATATTTGGATTTTTCCCAGAAAGATTCAAATTTATATATATATTTTTTTTTTTTAATAATGAAATTTACCTTCAATCTTTTTATTCCCTTTTTATTCTCTTCAATCTTTTTTATAAAATATCAAATTTGCTGTTTTTATATTTATTTCAGTAGATTTGCATTTATTTTCTACATCAATCTTATAATTACAAAATCGTAAGACATTTATAAATGAGAATTTTAGAAATATTAATTTTCCACATAAAATTAATAGTTTAACAGCAATAATAATAATATCATTCCTCGCAAGTAGCGAAATATATTGCATATACTTGAAAGTACATAATCTCTTTTTATACAAAAAATATATTCGACTATCAAAAAGTGCAAGGAAAATGCTTATTTTCTCGTCTTGCTTATTTTCTCTTCGGCTTACTAATTAATTATTGTTGTATCATTTATTTATATTCGACAGATCTACTTTATTGTGATAAATGAAACGAACTCTTCACAGTTAACTGTCGATAAGATAGAACATGATAAAAGATGTTTTATTGACTTTATGCATCTGAAGAATATTATTATATTATTAAATATACATATATGAAATAGATTTTCAACGTTTACAACATAAGGACAATTTTAAATATTTTTAACTATATTCATTATGTGCAATATTACAAAAAAGTAGAAAATATCCATTGTACAATTATCATATAGTAGTAGGTATAGTAGAAATATTCATTGAGAAGTGTACTCGTATCTTGAGTCCAATTTTAAAATCAACTATCTTATCTTTGAAACGTATCTTACGTTTCAATTATGAAATCAATTTTTTTATTTCAAATATCTGCTTCTTTCATATACATGATTCCTACATTTATTATTAGACACAATTACAAAATTATTTGGTATTAATTTTCAAAAATATATATTGACAAATATCGAATAGGAAACGTATATATATAAATTATTATGAATTATTTATATTTTAGATTTGTGAGTTTATGTAAGAATATCAACAAATCACTATATTAGATCATCTTAAAAAATTACAATGGATTTAAAAATATAATTAGATGAGCCATCATCAATCTGCATAAAATATATTTAACATTTAAAAATAATAAAAAATTGGAAAATAAAAAATACATTTCATTATTCTTACATCGTATTTTTCAAGTATTTTTTAGGCTCCTTATTTTGATAAGTTATTTTGATAAGTTATTATATTGATAAGTTATTACACCTAATACTAGATCTAGAAAGTAATCCTCTCAAACAAATAATTTAATACCCATGTAGAATTTATCTTTCTTGGATAAAGATTTATTTATTTTAATAAAAAATGGGTTATCAAACATTCATTTCATGACAATAAAACTTTTTAGACAGAGTAATAATTTATTAATATTGTTGTACAAATCTATTACATTAAAATATGAATTATATATATCAGGTCAGTCCAAAAGTTCGTGCGCATTTTGGCGAATCCCATACATGCTACTAATACGCACGAACTTTTGGACTGACCTAATAATAAGTTTATATTTAAGATGCGAATACCAAAGAGTATGTATGTTGAATTTAATTATTATATAAAATTAAGAAACAATATATGTATGTGTCATATATATCATATATATACTTAATTATTGTAAAACGAAATAAACACAATCAAATTACACATTTTATATATATTACATATTTTATATATATATATATATATATATATATATATATATATATATATAATTTCAAAACAGACATTATAATGAATACATTAAATAATAAAAGAATCTATTAATAAAACAAAATAAATGGAAAATATAGTAAGATAGAAAAAATCATCATTATAGAACATAATAAAATTTGATTGAATTATGCAACTATTTTTCATATATCGAAAGCAATATCGATTTACAGATCTCACCACTTGTATGTTGCTGCATGCGGAGACGCAAAAGTTAACATTTTACTACTAATGCCAAATACTTAACAACAATAATTATTATAATTTGGAAACAAAATTAATTGTGAAATGAAACAAAAATTTTTTTCTGATCAATCGAGATTAGACGAAAATTTATGAATCCTTTTGATGTCGATAAACGCGACCTACCCGATAAAACCGATAGAATAGAACATTTTGATCATGTTTTATGAACTTTCATTTCCAAATATTAATGCTGATATGCATACGTTCCAAATATTAACGTTGATGATCATCATGAAAACTGAATGAAACATGAAACTGAATCATGATCATCATGAAACTGAATCATGATCATCATGAAACTGAAAATAGAACGCAGTGATTACTATACACATAGCCTATATACATCATATAAAGATTACATATCTAAATCAATATCTATCTAAATCATATATAAATCAATATCTTATTAAACATTATTTCATTATGAGAATACATATCACAAAGATTATTGCCCAAAACACAACAGAAATACTTTAATCTTTTGTAAAATGAAAGATAGACCAATTTGTTTTTCTTTGTTACATTACATATATTATCTTATTATCTAACATTTAACTCTATGTATAATTTCTTCAAATGATGCAAGCGGCTCTTTGAAATTTGTGCTCCTGAACTATCTAAACCTTTTTATAATTAAACAAGTAGCAATTAAAATAATATGTGAATTTTATATAATAAATTAACAGTCAAGTTAATATAAAACACAGCACAGTGAATATAAAACATGTAAATCATTTTATAATTAAATAAGAAACGAATAAAATAATATGCAGATTTTATGTAAGAAATCAGAAATTTAAAACAGTATATATTTGAATAAAACATTTAAAATTGATAGGCAAATGTTATATAATAAATCAGCTATCTGTAACCATAAGAAATTTAAAGTGTTTTATATTTTAATAAAACAGTTAAAATTAATATCTAAATGTCATGTAACGAACCAGTTACCTGCAAACATAAAAAATTTATAATATTTTTATTTAATAACCATTTAATAACTACTCACACTTAATAGTAACAAGCAACAAAGAGTGAAATCGATTTTTGCCGATTTAGACGATATTTCCTGGAACAAAAATCAATTCTGTATAAATCAATTAAAAATTTGTTCAACATTTTCAATGAGTAAAAGAAATCATTCAAGTCCTCAGTATTTATATATATTATTATTTGTTCTTATTATTGTTTTATTTTAATTTGTTATGCATTAAAATATATAAAAAATCTAAAACACAAATCAATTTTATATAATGAATTTGTAATCATTATTAATTTATTTTTATGTCAAGTATTGCTTTTCAAAAACAAATATTTAACGATAGCTCGATACTCGATTTTTTCCATTTTCATAAAAACATCGATTCATTCAAACGATTGTCAAACAACAACTGCGCATCCAAAATGATTGAAATTTTGGTGAGTTTTAAAAAATGTGCAAACACATTCTCTAGCTTTTGTTGACGACTGTTATCATCATGTTGAGGTCGGGAACTTTGCATATCACCTTCGTGTAATCAGAATAATCAGAATAATGAGATTCAGATTACAAAAGGATAATGATAATGATCATAATGATAACAACATATTACACATTTTACAACTCTTGGTAAGACTCTTGACATATTATTTTTATCGCATAAGGCCTTTTGAGCGAACCGCTGTAGTACTGTATTAACTTGTAAGTATGAAATATGTATATATTTCATATATATATGTATATATCAAATATGCAATTATGAAAAAGAAAAGGGAAAAAATATATGATTATTCTGAATTAAAAATCAATATGCTTAAGTATTCAGATGCACTTCTGAGTGCAATGTTGCTGCAGGTAACGAACGTCCACAAAATATTTAACTAGCGTGATTCTATTTTTGTAACTAAAAATCTACTTCAAGAAAAAACTTTGCTTAACTTTAAAACTTGAAAATGTAAAGGCTTGATTTTAATTAAAAAAAAAAAATTCAAGAGCTCGACTTTAATTTAAAAAAGAAAATGTAATGATATTCTACGGCGGGAGATGAACAAACACACGTGCTATTCAACGCCTTTAAATCATGGAGCCTTCTTACCATAACAAATCACGTACATAGTTCCGATACCTGAGAACACATTAATGCATATCAACTCTTCCACACAGTGACCAAAATGGGGGTAATCCTCTATATAAGCAACGATATAACTTCTTCAGACTGTTACAGTAAAGATTTTGAAACAATTACGACAAGCTAATTACAATGAAGCAACAAATCTATTCTTAATTTCAAATCGGTCATCAAATTATATTTTCCAACTTTTTACCCTTAGTTCTTAATTTATTCGGGATAGTCTTAAACCTAGAATCTAGAAGTCTAGAATCGTCGGAGTAATCTTAAATCTATTACTTACGATATATGCTAATTTTTATATGTGTTAATTATATTTATTATTTTCTATCCATTTATCGTAAAACAAATGCGTACTAACATCGTATCTAGTACGGATCATTGCGAAACGCACATTACTATCAAAGAAAGATATACATATGAGAGAAAAGTTTGCATTACAGTTTACTAATACTACTTACTCTATTCACACGAAACCAATTGTTACGTACGCGTAAGAGAAGAATAACCAAATAAGCTTATACATCAATATAATAGAGGCATGATAAGAACAACGTAGCATCTCAAGAATCTCTATCATCCCGCTTCTATCTCTCTTAACGAAAGAGACTTTCCACATTCTTTATATTGGGATGCACCGACTCTCACGTGAATTTCCGGAGAGCCCGGAAATAATTCAACTGGATTAAGGTAAAAAGGTTAACACCTCAATTTGTTCTACCTATTCGGCATTCTACCGGTATCAATCCCGTGTCATAACTGCACATAGCAGATAAGGCCGAAATTGGTACAAATTCAATAAGGTAGAAACTGCTTGCGAAATATTATTATATTTTTGAGGCCGTACCATACGGGACATAACACTAATCTAAATCGATTTAATCCCAACTTGATCTCATTTTACGCAATGAACCTCAAACCACTCGTTAATGCACGCATTGAACGCTACACAATAGTTGCAAACTAAGGGAGAGTTGGGAAGTAAAAAATACATTCGCTGTTTTTTTTTATTTTTTAACCTAATGAATGGTAAGTGCTTGCAACGTAAAGTATCGATTTCTTCTGAAGTGGTTATATTCGCGACTGAATCACCCCAAATAGTACTGACGAATCCCAACATATATTCTCAACTGCGTTTTTTACTCTATCTGGGTGCTTCTCGATTCTCTATTGATGTTTATTTATTTGCTTATTTATTTATTTATTTATTTATTTAAAAAATATAACAAAGATTAAAGATTCATACATAAATATTTGAATAAACCGTACCCTAGTCTGTAGACAATCAATGGACTCAAAGAATCTACTAATCGTGAACAATTACACAGGCACATTTAATCGAATGCTCCAACAAAAATAATATTCATTCTAATCAATGAACCTATTACAAACTAACTTGTGATTCCTAAGAAGTGTGAAAAAACAAGTACTTATCCTGTAGGATACTGCATGAGGATGCTAGCTGAATATTAATCACGCCACGATTAAAAAGAAAGGCGTTAGATTGTTTTCATTCTAAATCGGACTATGCGAGGCTATCGATTGCAGAATTGTCAGTACAAATTAAAGCAATGTTTCACCTTCTGACAATGAAAATGGCCGCAAGAAAACGATTCGAAGAATGTTTACGACGAAAAAGGAAAAGCTTCTGCGGATATTCATTCTGTATCAATTTCATTTCGCCATTTTATTTTTTTTTATTTAAGCAATACAACAGTCGATTTATTGATGATCTGAAACAGAAATAAAAGCAAAATTATTAATTTTATTGTTACAATAAACAATTGTTAAAATTGTTAAGAAAACGTTTAAAAAAAGCTTATTTACCCAATTACTTTGTTGATCCTTGCACAATGAATATCCTAAAAAGCTACATACAGAGAACCAATTGTCAATAATAATCTAATCAATTTTCTAAAATAAAATAACAACTGCATCAGTAAACTCGATGGCGAATTTAAAAAGTATAAAAATTTCTATATCGCCCTATGTAATAATAAATTCCTTTATAAATTAATCGTAACAAAGTTAAAGTAAAAATGTTCAATAATAAAATATCTAATTAATCCGAAATTAATTAATTTGCTAGAATCCGTCGAAATACTGTATAAGAAAAAAATTTTCTTTCTTTGAGAGATTCGAACGCTCGACTGTCCTTGTTTTATTCTTGATCCGAAAATTTTAATATCTTTATTATTCTTATTTATTTAAAGTGCTAATTCTACTTCGTGATTACATTTCATTTTTAAAGATATCTATCAAATTGAAAATTAATCATACTATTTCGCAAACATAAGCATTGACTCTATAATCGCATTGCACACGACCATCAACTGAATATCTATTAAATAAAAATGATAAAAACATTCTGATTACTTCCGCAATTTATATATTATTCTCAAAAAAATAAAGAAAACCTTTAATAATTCTTAAAACTTGTAAGCTATATTAAGAGAACTTGTAAGCTATATTAAAAGAAATGATAAAAAATAAACAAACAAAATCATGTTTTATCTGTTGTTTAAAAATACATACGGTCACAATAGGATATTTAGAAAAGTATACTAATTGCATTGATACCTATAAATCAAAATGAATAAAAAAGAAAGCATTAAAGATAAACGAGTGACATCGAAATAATTATACTTATAATATTAATTAATTTAATTATTAATTTATTATATTAAATTAATTTATGTTATTAGTTGAATGTATCTTGAAATTTTATTCTACTTGAATTTAACGCATATTTTTGTTGCTTTTTATGTTTCGTAATATTTTCTATTCGTAATACTCTCAATAAAACATTACAAATAGAAAATTTTATATAATGAAAATTCTGGACATATTATATTATATAAACATATAATAAAATTACAATAAAACATCAAAATTGTATAACACAGTAGATAAAAATAATATCTAACTTATTAGTTGAAATTTAATTTCTTACAGATAAACTAATTTGAATACTCTGTATACAAAAAGTAATAGAAGAAAGTAAACAAGGATTACTGTCAAATATGTCTAAATCGACAGATTAGTTGAATAGTTAGAATAATAAAGAAACAAATTATAAGAATATTATTAATATAGAACAAAAGTGTTTATTTATTTATATAATATGTGCATGTATATACGAGTCTATGAAATCCATACAACTTCATTAAAATGTTACAAAGAAGTTACAATATTTTGCAAGCTTCCAGTTTGCAGCACAATTCAGAAATATGATCAAATATACATTTTACGAAGTCGGCTATCTCGACGATGCACCTGTTTCTTTTCACATTTCAATTCAGTACTATTTCGACATAGTAGATGGCACAATTTATATATAATAATTAATAATGTACATCAGTTCTTGCGTAAAAATGAATTTTACCTCCTTTACCAACTGTTTTTAACATCATTATTGACAAAAGTTTCTCAAATTTTTATAATTTCTTTTTTATTATGCTAGTTTTTACAATCGTATCAGGAATGATAAAATTAATGTAGTAAGTATATCACTGAATGTAGTATAATCTAAACTGTATCATAAAAGAACAGATAAATTTACAAAATGAAAGCAGTAACTATAAAGCTATAATTATTTTTCTTATTTCATTTTGCAAGTTTTACTTTTAAGATATATAACGCATCATAATCATAACGCTGATGATATGATTATTGTATTTAAATTGTGAACAATAAATGATACTGGAATACTTCAAATAATATCATAAGTTGTAACATCAATAAAACGAAGAAATCTTACTTATATTTTACGAGAAGTTTTTTCCATAATCGTCGAGTATTTATAGAATCTGTCATATTCTTACAGTTAACATGTAATTTTCAAAACAATCATCCTAATTGACCTTGACAGAATTTTGTTTTATCACGATGGACAAATCGAACTCTACAAAGTTAACTATAGATAAGAAAGAAAATACATTTTCCTTGATAGAAGATGTTTTGTAAACTTTTTGCATCTGAAAAATATAATTTTATTAGTTATATGCGAAATCTCCAATGTTTACAACATAAGAATGATCTTAAATATTTTTTAATTATATTCAAAGCAATATTACAAAAAAGTAAAAAATATATATATTTATATTCATCTTACTACATATGTGCCATAAATTTTTCATTAAAACATTTAGTACTCCTAAATATTGTATTATAAACTATAAATAATTATAGATGTTTTTCTTCCTGCAAATATAACATTTCTTTAATACGTTGCCGCACACTTTTAATTTGACGATCGTACTCAGAAACACATTTTTTTTTCAATTGTTTATGACTGCCATATGAAATTGAGCGTCAGTCATCATGTGCAAGACGGCTACAGTTGTCAATTGCCTACATATCGCCAAAAATCGGACGGCTATAGCCGTCATTTGCGGCAACATGTTAAATATCAAAAAATAGAACGTCGTGTCTCCATCTCTCATCTTTTACATAAACCCTTGATTATTAAAATCGATCTAGAATTATATTAAAGAGCATTTATGGTGCTCTTATAGCATACATAGTATAAGCATAGATATTTGTTTAAACTATAAAACATAAATATAAAATCCATGCTGTGTAAATGCTTAATCGACTAATACAAATGCGAAAAGATATTACTACACTATTTTGAACTAAAATAATTAAAAATTCTTTTGATCAAAATTCTTGTTCAACTTTGATAATAGAAGACTCATTCAAAAGATCAAAGACGAAAATTGTTAAAGATTTTTTTACACACAAATTACACTTGAATATTTTTATTACTTTTTTTTTATTATTGTTTATATTTGTTTTATTTTGAAACGATTTTTACAAAAGAAAATATTTTTTTCAAAAATTAAAAAAGTAATTGCGTGTCTTAATTTTTAATCCTACGAATGAGCCCTCATTATGATATAATCTCTTGTATATATTCGACGACGAAAAGCTTTAACATAAATTATTGGATGTATCCTAATGTGCAACTTTATTTTAGTTAAAATGAATTTAAAAAAAAATAAGAAAGGAATAACATTCATCATGTAATAAAAGATTATATTATTCCGGATAATGTATTATATAAACAAATAATAAATAACCTTTATAAAATATTTAAAGCTGATCGAAGAGAAGATACATGATCGGAACGGTCATGCCTGTTTTTGTCCAAGTTGAGTTGAACGAGACTTTGACCAGCCACCAACAAAATCCTAATAATAAAACTTGCAAGCTTAGATGGGCCACCATCAATCTGTACAAAACATATATAACGTTAAAAAATAAAAAAATATCGGAGAATATACAAAGCATTTAATTTTTCTTACATCATATTTTTCGAACGTGCTTTTTCAAGTGTTTTTTTAGGGTCTTTAGATAGATAAATTCTCACACCCAATACTAAATTCAAAAAGTAATCCTCCCAAACCAATGATTCAATGTTCATATAGAATTTATCTTTATCTTCCTCAGATAAAGATTTTTTTAAATCCATAAAAACTGGATTATTAAACTTCCATTCCGTAAAAATGAACTTTTCAAGACGGTCTAGAGATTTATTAATGTTACTGTGCAAACGTACTAATCTAGAATATAAATTATTTATAATTTATATGTTCGTATTTATTGAAGTATACTTTTCAAAACTTACATTGGTCGTCCTCCAAATAATCTTGTAATTGTATCCAAAATAAATGCAGGAATCATGTGTACAAAAAAGGCAGAAATTTTAAATAAAAATATCGAGCTTATAATTTTAAGATGCGGATACCAAACAGCACTCTTCAATGGATATTTGTGTAGATATGGAGTAATTTTTGACTCTACGCATTCCCATTTAAAGGGATTACATGTACTTGATGTACAATGATATACTTTCACATTATTTGTACTGAAATAAATAAAATACATATTAAAAATTGCTTATAATTAATATCTTTTTTAAAACTAATAGAAGATACAATAATTTTATAAAGAATTTATTAAAAAGCTAAAATTTAAGTTACCTATCACGATTAATAGCATAAGCAGCAGTAATGAGAGTATTCACAACAATATCTACTGGAATATAATCATATATCAAAGATTTAGCAATAGGTAATCTCCGCACAACTCCTTTACTGGCACCCATAAGGAAGCCTGTTGGCCCATTTTTAGATATGGTCCATCCAGGTACTGGTTCCTTCCATGATCCTACAACTATAATCATAAAAAGATATATGAAAATACATGATTTGCATTCTAAATATTTATTACTTTAATATACATTATTCAAAACTCACTCATAGAAGGTCGTACTATCGCAGACGGTAAGTGAACATTAGCTACTTCGTGCTCAGCTAAATGTTTGGTAAATGTATATGAATTTGGATGTTCCCCTAATAGTTTTGGAGTTTCTTCTTCTAATGCATCATCGTCCAGTTCTTTTACTAATTTTAGTACCTTATTTACATCCTCTGGAGCTGGATAAATTTTTTCTTGAACATCATGTAATACTGAATTAACATAAGCACTGGAAACATGCACCAAAGCCTATAATACAAAAGTAATTGTGATAATAAGATAAGCAAGATTTAAATATATTTATAGATAAGATATCTTCAAATCTATCTTCAATAATCTGGTTTACCTTGAGATTCCTAATTTCCTGACAAAGCTGAACAACTTTTCTAGTACCTAGCAAGTTAATATGAACAGCATTTTTTAAACTAGCTTCAAAATCCAGAGTAGCAGCAGAATGTACAACAATTTGTACGTTTTCTATTAGTTGCAACCGATCTTCATTAGACAAACCTAAATTGTCTTCGCCAACATCACCAGGAACAGCAATTAATTTCTTAAACAATTCTATCTTATTTTCTTCTCTCAATCTATCAAAGACCTAAGTGAGTTATTCCACAAAACATAAGTGTATTTAATAAAACATAAAAATAAAACATATTAAAAAGAAAATTTTATAACGCAATCTTA